GCACAACATGATCTACTCGACCACCATTATGGTTACCGCCAAAAAAACAAAACGGAGGTTAAAAAAAAACAAACAGTAACCTGGTTGCCGAGTTCACGAAGTGAATTGGCTTGTTTTACAACGTCGTCGCCAAGCAACGAAAACCCAACCCCGATGGCAAACACCGGGGGGGGGCGGGATTACCAAATCCATCTTGTATAGCCCCTTTCCCCTACCAGTGCCTGTGGTAAAAGGGGAAGAATCCTCAACGGCGATGGGCATATGGCACTCGCGCAGTGTCTTGAGGACCACTCGAACCATCCTGTTATGGAGGAAGTGTGTGTGTGTGTGTGTGTGTGAGAGTTTTTGGTCATTATTGTTAGCATCGACGGTCAACCAATGACAAGACGCCAGTCTCAATTGCTGCTGAAAAACAGAAAACGTTTCTAAAGGTTATGATATGGCATGGAGGGGGCGTCAAGGGGAAAAAAGATTTGGTAACAACAGAAGCAAACGTGTGTGTCTGAGAGAGAAAGAGAGGCGTTATGTGTTGCGACATCTACACCTGTGCCATCCGGGCACGTAGAAGAGCCTTGTTCAGCACTATGATGTACACGAGAATATCCAGTTGTCTGCTGATTAGATCTTACATTAGACGTGCCATGAGTTTTTATTTTCGGTGGGAAGTGTACTTGGCCACACGCTGACATTCTCTGTGGTTTTATCCGTCACAAAGCGGCGAAATATTTTGAAATGTACCTGCATCGTCAAGAGCCTTGACGGCGCAATAACACCTTCAGGCACGTTGTTGGTCCTCCCTGTTGGTCAACGCTAGTGGGGATGAGACTCGTTCCAAACCCTTCGGTGTAGAGTAACGTTTCTTGTGGGTGCCACCGAGCCGTGCCTTTTTCGTGCCCGGCGCCATCGGCGCTGTAGCCGATTGGGACTCATCGCAGATGCATTTCTCCGCAGCATCATATTCAATCATCATGTTCGTAGGCACAATTTTTAAGCGCGAAGTCCCGAGAACACGGGGATGGTTTTCCCTGTCTTCGCCTTGTGGGGTATGTCCCGTGGGTGCACACGTCGGCGTAGTTTCATACCTAGTGGGAGCCGTACATTAGGCAATAACGTTAGACCAGCAGGGTGAGAAGTTCCGCATGGCGAACGGTGAACGGCGATTTTTGCGCTTGTCCACCGCAGCAACAGCAGGGCTTCTGTTCTTTATCATGGCTTTTTTTTTGTGTATGGGGGTAAAACGTGGTGCACCACAAGACGGCGTTCGTGTGAACAGGAAGGCTAGGCAGGCCGAGATATGCGTGCGTATTTTCATGCCGAGCTCTCGAAACTCTTGTCGGTTGTGTATGATGGCATTTCTCAAGGTGAGCATGTCGTTCAGTGTTTCTTGAGACGCCCGAATGAATGCTGCCTAAGCGCTGTTGTCGTTGGTGATGTCTATTTCTTCTGTTGGCATTGTTCACCGCTCTATCCAACCCAGCGCGATCTGTCTTATGTTTGTCGACTCTGGCTCCGAGTGTGCGTGCTGATCGACTCGGCCCTTAGTTTGTGTGCTGACCCTTATGTTGCTCTCCCCCGCTGTCTGCATGCAATCGACGTCGCTCTGTCTGCTGTCTGTGTTCATGAAACGGTGGTACGATACCGTGCTTGTACCCTGCGTTTTGCGTTGTCGCATCAGAAACAAGAACGACTGGAGAAGGTGGCAAAGGTAAGCGCTCCATGGAGTTTTCCAAGGAACACTGTTGAGGGAGGATTCAAGCGGATCGGGGGGAGGGGGTTTATCATAATCCACATCAACGGGTTTGGTTCCTCTTGAGATCGTCAGAACGTGCAGCAGCAGGTAGCCCCGCTCCAAGGACCCTTCAGCATTGTATTGTACCAATTGTCACCTCACCTCATTCAAATCACGCAGGAATTCCCCCGGTACGTTCTGGTGGCGTCGGCCTCACAATGCACTTACTCCTTACGATGTAGTGTCGTCACAATCTCAAGGTTTCTATGTACAAACGATCGACAGAGGATTGAAAAATGTTAGTGTTAGGTTCCTCCTCTTTCGCGGTTATCAAGAACCCATCGTGTTGAGTAGAGTCAGCGAACTGAAGGTAGTAGCAACAACGTTACAACCGCTTGTCCCGCGCTTTCCGTCTTGTTCCTCTAGGCGGCGGCAAAAGCAAAGGCAGCCGCAGCCGCGAAGGAGGAGCAACCAGCACAGTCAGAAGAGCCAGAGGTGCCGGTCGAAGCTGTGCCTGATGGTTTCGAGATGGTGGAGATTAACGGGCGCATGGTCTTGAGGATGAAGTAGACGCAAGCGGTTTTAGAGCTAGTATTTCCGAGGCGTGGTTTCGTGTGTTTCGGCGCGATGAGGGGTTGTGCCTGACGGGTCGTGGAATCCGCGTGTTGTGGTGGGGACTTTTCGCTGGTCTAGCTGATTGCGTGATAGACTTTTGATTGGTTGTCTGAGATGAAGAGTTTTCGCTGGTCCAGCTGATTGCGTGACTTTTGATTGGTTGTCTGACATGAAGATATTTCGCTGGTCTAGCTTTATTGCGTGATAGACTTTTGATTGGGTTTCTGAGATGAAGAGCAGGGGCGTCATCCTTCGGCGGCAGTAGCAGCGGCAGCGTTCAAGCGTTTTACAGGATTGATCGGTTTCGTGTGTGTTGTGTGTGTGCTCCTTCTGATCACTGGCAACAGGGTCCCGACTTTGACTGTCGAGGAAAGGGGGGGGTTCCCTCGCACCCGGACGTTTTTTCAGCTTTCGTGTTCGTTTGTTAGTCTTATTACCTTTGCGAGCTGGTGCTCTCCGCGGGCATGCCATGTTAGTTTAGAAAAAACATTTAATATGTGCTGATCGAGTTGTTTTCCAGCGGGCTTTTGAGTCAATCCACAACTCGCCCGGGACCCAGGCCTCTCTTGGAGTGACAGGTGATAGGATCACAGGTGGTGTGCTAACCCGTCAGAACACATTTTGTAGACACGCGGCTTGAGATTGGGAAGAATACCTCGACACCACCGGTTCCTGGTTTTATTTTCGGCGTCGTTTTGTTTCGGTCCGGGGGAGAGGAAAGAGCCAGGCGCGCTGACGAGAACGCAGCACACACGCGCCGCGGTCCGCTGAGGACCAGGTGCGATGGCAGTGCATCGGCGGTAAAATCGGTGAGGGAGCTCAGGGACGTTTGAAGGATCATTTTTTTGCGGAGATGGAAGTGGAGGCCGGTGCCGACAGCAGTGGATATGTTGTCCGACGATGCGGGGGGGGGAGTGTAAGGGTGCGTGCGAACAAAAGTGGCTCGCGGGCGATGGGGGTTGAGATACCATAAAGCTTTGTGTGTTTCATGGACCTGAAAAACTCTTGTTGCCTTCATTTTCTCCTGTGCTGCTACGAACGCGCCACGTGCCTACGGCCACGACGCGAGAGAGGAGCTGCACATTTTTTGTTAGAAACGTGCCTAAAACCGATGAGGGGGAGGGGACGGAGGGAGTAGAGAAGGTTGGGTTCGGGATTGGTTAGGCTTGGCAGGCACCAGTGTTTCTGCTGCGCATGCCCGCGTTGTTGGTACAACGTTGGACGAATGTGTCTTCATTTTCGCGCCTTGACTTATGCGATAGTCTTGCTGCGCAGGTTGATTCAAGTCGTGGGGATACGGATGATAAAAACACGAAAAACACCTCAGAAAATCATTGTATTTTTCAGGGTAACTCACAGAGTAGAATCGCTCCGCGGAGCGATTTTTTTCTTTTTTCAGGTTTACGGAGCATTTGTTTTCATTTGAAAATGTCACGGAGCGGTGCGGAGCGGTTTATCCGAGTGCGCAAACCCCACGAAGCGGAGCTTTTTTTTTTTGTTGTCACAGAGAGGAGCGGAGCGTTTAATCCGTAGTGCGTTTTTTTTCACGGAGCGTTTTTTTTACTGCGTAGCATAAACCGCGCGAAACCGTGGACTTGAGGACCGTTTTCCGTCAGAAAAAACTGTCGAAACCGCACGGATATCCGTACAAAATCGACGGAGTGCCTGCAATTTCGTGAAAAACGTTGGGTTTGGTACACCGACAAGCGATTTTCCGCACGACGTGCTGTGGTTGGAGGCCGCCGGTGACACCGTATGTATTCGTCCCCGCCGCTAGGACAGACCAATCAATCAATTATTTAGAAGAGGACCGTTCCCCGCATCGATACCTCCTCGACTCCTCCCATGTTCCTGCAACACGTAAAGCAGCAGATATATGATTCCTCACCTGCCTCTCGTTGAAACTTGTCAGTGCTACACACCTTATAAATACCTCTTCGACTCATACTATCCTGCAACACGTACAACCGCAGAGAATTCCTCACTTGCCTCTCGTTGAAACTTGTCAAAACTATAACTACATACAGTCGAGGGACCCTTTTAATGCCGGTTGAATAGTGCCAGATGCCCGGTATAGTGCCGGTAAAATCTCTGCACACAGGCGGAGCTCTCAATAGTGCCAGACCGGCACTAATTAAAGCATGCCCGATATAGTGCCGGTTCGGCACTGCTGTCACCCCCAATAGTGCCGGTACTCCGCACGCGCGAAACACACACACGCACAACCCAGGGCAGAAAACATAGACTCCACACACAGAAATAGGGTACACGTGCTGCTGCAGACCCGAACAGCTCTACACAGGGGCGTACCATGCCCTGTGCGGAAGGTGAACTGTGCCAACTACAGGACACCACGCCGCAAGACCCTCATGGTCACGGCTGCCAGGGAGGATGTGGCGGGCGACTGCACGGCATTTGCGGCAGTGTGGTTGATGTAGGCAACGAGAATCACCGCATCTGCAGCGCGTGCGTCGCCAAAGCCGGCAAGCGCAAAGTGTCAGCAGCAGACAGCACTGGGAAGGCACAATCTAAACGTCCGAAGGCCACGAATGGGGGGAGTAACAAGTCTCAGCCTCGTGCGCGGCCAGATTTCAGCGCCAAGTGTGAGATGCTGAAGCTGATGGATCAGAAGGTGACTCATGAGCAGCTAGCAGATCGCTTCAAGTGCTCGGAACGGTTGGTCCGGGATGTGAAGAAGAACAGGAAGAAGTACGAGACCGAGGCTGCTGCAGGACGCGGAGGAAGCAAGAAAAACGTGCGCACAGGCAATAATCCG